GGTTTTGTTTACATTTTGTTTTGTTCACAACGTGCACATTTGGCTCCGTCCTTAAGGGGTTAAAGTCCTGTTGTTTTACCTCCTACTTTCAAGCAAGCTCTGTGAGTCAGTAGTGGGGTTATATTGGCAATACAAATCCCACACAGGTGGTAATTAAGGGGCACTCCCCCTAATAAGCTCAGCAGCAGCACCCACAAGGAGGGGAATATAAACAGCAAGAGAGAAAGAGGGAGACAAGTTTTAAATAATAAATAAATAAAAATGTAACCTGCTTTTTCACTTTTAGCAGAGTCACTTTGTATTAACGAATACCAACCACAGTCCACCAGTTCTCGTAAAACAGACTAACTTCAAGCAACCTCCAGTGAGGAATATATTGTATTCCATGACAGTAACGATTTCCTAAATACAATCCATCAAAATGTCACTATGGGAACAGTAACATCTTAAGTACTAGTAATATACTATTTTAAGTAAAAATATATATATATCTCCCACGTTGTAAATTACAATTTCTGATTTCCCTTTAACCTTGTACACGGGAGGTCATAGCACTTTACACGCTTACAGTGTCCCTTTAACCTTGCACACGGGAGGCCATTGCACTTTACACACTTAGAGTGTCTCTTTAACCTTGCACATGGGAGGTCATAGCACTTTACACGCTTACAGTGTCCCTTTAACCTTGCACACGGGAGGCCATTGCACTTTACACACTTAGAGTGTCTCTTTAACCTTGCACACGGGAGGCCATTGCACTTTACACACTTAGAGTGTCTCTTTAACCTTGCACATGGGAGGTCAACGCACTTTACACGCTTACAGTGTCCCTTTAACCTTGCACACGGGAGGCCATTGCACTTTACACACTTAGAGTGTCTCTTTAACCTTGCACATGGGAGGTCATAGCACTTTACACGCTTACAGTGTCCCTTTAACCTTGCACACGGGAGGTCATAGCACTTTACACGCTTACAGTGTCCCTTTAACCTTGTACACGGGAGGCCATTGCACTTTACACACTTAGAGTGTCTCTTTAACCTTGCACATGGGAGGTCATAGCACTTTACACGCTTACAGTGTCCCTTTAACCTTGCACACGGAGGCCATTGCACTTTACACACTTAGAGTGTCTCTTTAACCTTGCACATGGGAGGTCATAGCACTTTACACGCTTACAGTGTCCCTTTAACCTTGCACACGGGAGGTCATAGCACTTTACACGCTTACAGTGTCCCTTTAACCTTGTACACGGGAGGCCATTGCACTTTACACACTTAGAGTGTCTCTTTAACCTTGCACATGGGAGGTCATAGCACTTTACACGCTTACAGTGTCCCTTTAACCTTGCACACGGGAGGCCATTGCACTTTACACACTTAGAGTGTCTCTTTAACCTTGCACATGGGAGGTCATAGCACTTTACACGCTTACAGTGTCCCTTTAACCTTGCACACGGGAGGTCATAGCACTTTACACGCTTACAGTGTCCCTTTAACCTTGTACACGGGAGGCCATTGCACTTTACACACTTAGAGTGTCTCTTTAACCTTGCACACGGGAGGCCATGGCACTTTACACGCTTATAGTGTCTCTTTAACCTTGCACACGGGAGGCCATAGCACTTTACACACTTACAGTGTCCCTTTAACATGCTGGAATTACCCAGTTAATGTTTCTTTGATTAAATACAGAGTTTAACTCTTTGCTGGCATGGTCTGAACCAATTAGCAGATTGTAAATTCCACATCTCTAGCATCCTTACTGTGAAATAAACCAGGAAAACTCATTTTTTAGTCAGTTCTCCCACTGGAAAACATAAAGCAACCCGGGACTAAGCGCAAATGAAATATGCCGGGGGTCAAATTTTGTATTAACTAACAAAATATTACCCTGAATTGAAACAAACATCAAAATCAGCTTATTATATCAGCATAAATACACGGGAAAAATAAAATTGATTGAGCCTAAAAAAAATGTGAATAAATATCTCCAGTGACTTGTCTCCTGTCTTTGCACACAACAACGCATTGATTGCAAATAAACCGAGGTACGAGGGAAGCCGGGCAGAACCACACAAAGGAAAAATAAATGATTTTCTAATGTACGAGATACAGAGACAATGGGATTCTACAAAATACAGCAATTCTCCAAAAGGTGTATCTGTCACAGAAAATCAAAATGTCACTTCTGTTTGGAATGAAACACAGAGAGACAGGTAATCCGGGATCGTAAGTGAGGACAATAGACACGGTGACTTTAGCACTGATTAGATGTAATATTCCTTAATGATTGCTGGTGATAAAGTGTCACACACACAGTGAAGTCAAATCACAGTTATAACACGTGTGATGCTCTTACAGGTAAATCTTTGGCGTCTTGTCCCCCAGTAATGTCATCTGGATATTTTTAGAAGAATTCTACATTGTGAATTCTACGAGCCTCGCTGTTCTACCTGACATTTTTCACTCATTTGTCTGTTTACCCCAATTCAGTTAAAAACACCTCAAATCATTGTGGTGACAATAGTTGGAGTAACCCTTTAAAAATCAATAACTGTAGACAGGGCCGGCCTTAGGCCTTTAGGCGACCTGTGTCAAAAATCTTCACAGCGCCCTCACCCCCTCCCACCTCCCCCCCGTCATCCATGTATGATGTAATGTTTGTGTTGTCTGTGTATGTGATAGATGTGATGACTGTGTGTGATATGTATGCTATGTGTGATATTTGTAATGGGTGGATTAACTGTGTGTGATATGCGTGTATTGGTTGTATGTGATATTTGTGCTGGGTTTATTGGCTGTGTGTGATGGGTATTTAATTCAGATAAAAACATGCATTTAGGCCTGTGTGTGAATGCAGGTGTATATTTTTGCAGAGTTATGTGCACACAGTCCCACAGTCAGATGCACACAGTTATACATATACACTGTCAAATCCACCTCATGCACACAGTCACAGGCAGATAGTCACATACACAGGATCAGGCAGAAACACACAGGTACAGGCAGTAACACACATACACAGTTAGAGGTAGATAAACACACACAATTACAGGCAGACAGCCACACACATGCAGCCACACATACAGTCTTACACACACACACACACGCAGTCACAAACACACACGCAGACAGCCACACACATACACACACAGGCAGACAGTCACACACACACAGACAGCCACACACATGCACAAACGCAGACAGCCACACACACACACAGAGGCAGACGGCCATACACACACAGGAAGACATCAACACACACACAGGCATGCAGTCACACACACACACAGGCAGGCAGTCACACAGGCAGTGTCACGATTCTGGGAACCCAACACGCTGGCACACACACACACACAAAAGGTGCCGTACCGGACCTTAGAGTGGCCGGGCTAAGCACACACAGAATAGTCAGGAAACAAGCCGAGTAAAGGGAACCAGAAGACAGAATAACGTGAAACGAGCCGAGGTCAAAGGGTAGGAGAAAGTCACAAAGTCGGATAAACAAGCCAGAGAGTACGTAACCAGAAACACAAGGTAAGTAGCAATACTAGCAAGCAAAGACCACAACAGGGCAAAGAGGAACAGGAAAGGTAAGTATTTAAACCATCAGGTTAATTCTGATTGGATAATTTCCAATCAGAATTAACAATCACACGTGGGAGATATCTAGACCTCCCACTGTGATTGAGGCACTGTGCCTTTAAAGCCGGGTCAGGTGACTGACCCCGGCGTGTACAAACTTGGGCGGTCTCCCAGCGTGCAGCGTCATGTATGCTGCCGCTGGGGGACGTGGAGGGAACGGCGGGCGGCATCCGAGGCTGGAAGGATGCCGCTCGCCGGACCCAGGAGGAGGAGGGGACCGCGGACGGTTGGAGGGTGAGTACCGCGAGCGGAGTGCAGCCTCCCCTCGCAGCCGCCCGTGGGATCCCGACAGGCAGATAGTCACTCACACACAGGCAGACAGTCATACACACAGACACACACACAGGCAGACAGTCATACACACGGACACACAGGCAGACAGTCATACACACAGACACACAGGCAGACAGTCATACACACAGACACACACACACAGGCAGACAGTCATACACACAGACACACACACAGGCAGACAGTCATACATACAGACAGTCATACACACACAGACACACACACAAGCAGACAGTCATACACACACAGACACACACACAAGCAGACAGTCACACACACACACACACACAGGCAGATAGTCACACACACACACACAGGCAGACAGTCATACACACAGACACACACACATTGGTAGGCAGTCATACACACAGACACACACAGGCCGAGAGTCATACACACAGACAGTCATACACACAGACACACACAAGCAGATATACACACACAGTCACACACACACACACACACAGGCACACAGACACAGACACACACACATTGCAGACATCCACACACAGACACAGGCAGATAGTCACACACACACAGTATATGGCAAAACCGACCTCGCCACTGGGCATTGGAGAAGACTGATTGCCAGCCACCTGCCATGTGACTATGGCCCCTGGGATGTATTGCCCTTTAAAGACATAATTTGGGCATAATGGATTTGTGTTGTGCTGCTGCTGGCCCTTTAAGAACCGTCTGGGGACATACTGTGGAGTTACTGGGTGGCCACCATTTCCTGTATCAGAACAATGGATGAAGCACATGGTGAGAACAATGGATGGCGGCCATTTTAACTCACAGACACTGTTTGGACTTTTCAACACGGTGCCATCTCGCCAGTATTTGGTGCACAGAGACATCGTACAGTGGTTTTGGACTATACAGCAGGGGACACATTATACAGTGATTGTTTTTCATTTAGCCTGTATATGTTCTGCAGAATCTGCATTAAACTGTATCTTCCAAAGTAATGAACGGATCTGGGTGAATTTTGGATATGTGCATAGGCGTGCACAGCCTATTGCATTAGGGTGTGCACCCTAAAGCACAAACACACGCCGCGTGTGTGTGTGTGTGTGTGTGTGTATATCTATATATCTATATGTATATAGATATATAGATATATACACACACACACACACACTGCTGTGTGTGCTGTTAGTGTGCTGTTAGTGTGATGTGAGGGTGCTGTTAGTGTGATGTGAGGGTGCTGTTAGTGTGATGTGAGGGTGTTTGTGTGTGTTTGTGACTGTGCTGTTTGTGTGTGTATGTTTGTCCTGTGAGGGTGCTGTTTGTGTGAGTGTCGTGTATTTGTGAGAGTGCTGTTTGTGTGTGTGTGTGTGTGTTTGTGAGGGTGCTGTTAGTGTGCTGTGTGTGAGGGTGTTGCGTTTTTTTTAAAGGTGCTGTGTGTGTTTGTGAGGGTGCGGTTAGTGTACTGTGTGTGTGTGAGCTGTATGTGTGTAGGTGCTGTATGTGTGTGTGCTGTATGTTTGGAGGGATTTGGCAGATTAGTAAATCCTTGCTGCCATGTGCCATCCCTGGTGGTCCAGTGGAGAGTGAACTCTAGCCTGCAGGGCTAGAGTTAACTCTCGCGAGATCTGAGCGTTGCCGCAGCAACACTCAGATATCGCGAGAGGAACCTGGCGGAGCTTCTGTCTAGAGCTCCCTGGGTCCTCTCCTGCCTCCCTCCATGCTGCTGTGGGCCGGTGAGGTAGATCTTTGGTCTCCCCACCAGCCCATGGAGGCTTAGAGCAGAGCCGGCACTCAGATAGCGCCAGCTCTGCTTGTGTGTGTGTGTATATATATATATATGCGTACACACACACACTCACAGACACATTCAGACACACACACACATACATTCACAGACACACACATTCACAGACACACACTCACACAGCTCCTGAACGCACTACCTTGTAGGTATTACTGTCCTTTATATCTCCAGACAGGTTTTAGGTGTATCCCTGTCTCAGTTCAGTTTTGAGCAATTCACTCCAAGTCGGACTCCCTCATCTCTGTGTGTTGCATTAGGCAGACCAGATTTCATATATTTACACACACACACACACACACATTCACAGACACACTCACTGACACACACTCACTGACACACACACAGACACAGACACACTCACACAGACACACACTCACACAGACACACTCACACACACACACACTCACTGACACACACACACATACATTCACAGACACACACTCACTGACACACACACAGACACTCACACACACACTCACACACAGACACACACACTCACTGACACACTCACACAGACACTCACACACACAGACACTCACACACACAGACACACACACACACAGACACACACAGACACAGACACACACACACACACTCACACACAAGAACAAATTATTATATTTTCATTTAAAACCTGGAGTGCTGGCGTGGACTTTTTCCTGGGGTCCAGTGGGGCGGGCACCTGCCTTTCTGCAGCTGAGCCGCGGCGAGGGAGCTGTCTGCTCTCTGCTCTCTCTCGCCGCGCGGGCTGTCTGCTGGAGCTGGGAGCCGGAATATGATGTCATATTCCGGCTCCCGGCATCAGCGCACGGCGAGAGAGAGCATACAGCAGACAGCAGGGACCTCCCTCGCCGCGGCTCAGCTGCAGAGAGGGGGGGGGATTCATCACCTCTTGCCCTCCCCATGACAGGGGCAAGAGGTGAGACAGGGGGCGCTGAGTGCCTGCAGGAACAGCGTTCCTGCTCAAAAAAAGTGCAGGAACACTGTTCCTGCAGGACTCAAACCATAGGCGTGCCACGGGGATTAGGGTGTGCCCAGGCACACCCAGCACACCCCGTGCGCACGCCTATGGATATGTGGTTCACCCAGATCCCCCGGTTCCAAGGAGGTACCCAGTCGGGGTGCCAGGTGATCCGTTACAATATACACATAGACAGACAGTCATACACACGCATACACACAGACACACAAACAAGCAGACAGTCATACACACACACACACAGGCAGACAGACACACAGAGACAGTCACACACACACAGGCAGACCGACAGACACACACACAGACAGTCACACTCACACTGACAATCACACAGTTACCTGTGGAGTCCATTGTGGAGGCAGAAAGGCAGTGTATCTCCTGGAGACTGGTTGTTGGGGAAGCAGGGACTCCTTCCTGCTTCCCCTGCAGCAGTTATCCGGCACCTTTAGCTCCGCCCCGTCACAGGAAGCTCCACCCCGCCGCACGGGAAGCTTCGCCCCCTGTCACAAATTTGATTTTTAAATTCCGGCCGGTCATGTGCGAGCTGGTTCAGCCGCACAGCTCGCACACCCCTAAGTCTGGCCCTGACTGTAGATCATTTATTATGGGACCTTTGATCTTTAATATTATGACTCCTGACACAAAAACCACACGCTCATTTAATTTTGGAGTTTCCTCCTCAAAAATCTAAATATATAGATAGTGTGCGAAAAAAGTACCAGCGCTTAGTGAATAATCCCCTTAGACAAATATTCTAGGGTACCAAGAATGAAATCAATTCGACCTTATATGTATAGAGTCCCAGTTCGTATTCAATACATTGAAGTATAGATCTAGGTGGATGGGGATATCTGTCCTGTTTGCTCCACAAAGTATCCAAATGGTAATTTTCCAGATATATCGGTACCTTTAAAGGTTACAAAATATGCACACAGTATAATATTGCACACTTTATTTTAAATCTCCAATCCCCCAAATGGAACCCTTACATAAAATCGATATGGTACTGTTGCCAATATCCACACAAACAGCGATGTAACACTATTATGGAGATGTTACCACTGCGATGGACGGTCGTTTCTGCAGACAGAGCTTCCACAAGCCGGGACGATGCCCGCACTGCACACCGCTGTAGTTTTCTTAAGCTTTGGAGGCCACTTTCCATCAACATGTTTCACCCACTTCCCAGGGGCTTTGTCTCGACAGGAGGCGGCGGCAATGAATAGTGAGATATATATATATATATATATATATATATATATATGATTCTTATCTTAATCCCAGTGTCTTCAGTTTAAAGTCATAGTGTCCTTTTTAACTCATTAAGCATTAAAAGATGATATGATATGTGGGGTTTCTTTGTTTTGTAAACAGTCTATTTGCTTGCACCAACATTTCTGATAGTACATTCGATAGTACCACCATAACGATCATTGAGAACGTTTTAATAATTCCTCATTCCAAAGGCCATATAAATCCAACTATCATACCGATATGACTAGGAATCATGATAGGAATCAATTTCCTTCTAGAAAAAAAACACTTTTAGAGATTCACCCCGTGTTCAGAGAACTGACACTCACACCCCTTCACATCTCAACCACAAACAAAACATTTTTTTAGAGAAAGTGGGCAAGACCAAAAGGACATCGTCCGCTATACTCTATCCCCACTCAGAACATGTTCTTAAGCTTAAGACCCCATGTAGAAATGGAAGATTACGGAGAAACATCACATTCAATGATACCACACAGACAACTCGAACCCATACTGAAGGTATTTTCAACTCATCAGAAATGGTTTCAATAATGAAGACTCTCATTGCTAACAAAAGCAATAAAATTTGCTCCGACCAATAATCCCAATGATTCTTAGTTATTTTTAGATAATAAATCTGTTTAAGAAAATTAACCAGAAAAAGATTATTTGAAAGGATAAATAGTGAAATAAAGATACCAATAGCATTCACCCCCCTCCAGATCAACAACCATCTGAGCATGATGGCTCTGTAATTCCTACTCAATTCCTAATCCTTGGTAAGACCGCAATAAATATCTTGAGGTCTTCAATGAGTTAGTTCAGGAGGATTTTGATAAACTTATATATAAAAACACAAAGGGAAATAAGAAGTAATTAACTAACTATGGCAGAAAACGAAGCCTTACAGTCCCTACAAAAAAACTATGACCTAGCTATCAAAGAAGCTGACAAGGGAGGAGGCACAGTTATAATGTCGAAAACCTTATATGGAGGAATCAAATGGGGACGAGGTTCGCTCCCAGCTTCCCCAACCTGTATGTATCCCATTGGGAATCTCGTCATGTCAGGTTGGGTCAGACGCTGGGGGGACACCTTACCCTGTGACGACGCCACATAGACAATGTTCTTATCATTTGGTAGGGTGACCAAATTAGTCTTAATAATTTTATTCAATATATCAATCACAATGAATATAATTTGCAATTTACATCCTTCTGCCATCTAAAAAAATTGACTTCCTTGACTTAACTATATACATTGAAGATAATAATTTAAAAAACTAAGACGTTCTTTAAGAACACAGATTGCAATACTGCCATTGATTAATCCAGTTCCCACCAACCCTCTTTTAAAATACAGCCTGAAATCATTAAAAAACAGATATACTGAAAAAGGCTATGATACAAAACAAATTGAGGAGGCAGAGTTATCTCTAATCAATTCAGATGAAAACAATTTATTATCTAACCAAGACCAAACAAAATAAATCTAAAGGCAATAACACATTTGATTTTTCCTTCATAACTAAATACAATTCGCAGGCTAAAAAAATTGAAAACATCATAAAAAAAACACTGGCACATCCTGCGAAAAGATGTATTTTCAAAAAAGATACCACCCTATAAACCAACAATAATTTACAAAACATAAGAAAACCTTAAAAATAAACTGGCCCCTAGCCTATTACAATATGATAATAAAAATACACACCATCCGACACACATCTCTTCAAATGAATTATTCCTGGGTTTTTATCGCTGTGGAAGGTGTTCTACATGCACCTTTCAAAAGAAACCCATCAATTCATTTATAAGGATATATACCAACCAGACTTACGATATCCAGAAATTCATACAGTGATCCACAACCCACCTGATATATCTGTTGTGGCGCACAATATGTAGGTCACACTACCCGCAAATTGCATGTAAGACTTGCAGAACAATTCTACAAAATAAAAAAACCAGACCCCAGTGTGCCCAGACATTGTGCCAGCTGTCCACAATTCCAGTGGAATACTTTGTTGGCCTTTGGAATTGATAAAATAGAGAGACATTGGAGAGGGGGGAACATTGAGACCACTCAATATGAAAGAGGCCCAGTGGATTTTCAATTTATAAACTTTG